GTTGCGACGTTCCCCAATACCGTGTAGGATGCACCCTTGCTGACGTGACGTTTGAGATGTTCACGATCGCGGGTCGTGTGTTACCTTTGTTTTGCTATGAGAACGGACTTGTTTGAGCGTGTTTTACAATCCTTTCGGGAAAGGTAAGTATTGCAAATAAAGGCATTGCTTTGGTGAGTTGTTGAAAGTGGTTATAAGTAGAACCTCGGCCTCGCATAGCCATTTACGGCAGGTTTTTGCCACCTGCGGTTTAGGAGATTTGGGTCAGGTAGGTAGGAATGACCAATGTTCGGATGTTCATAGATATTATCACGGACTAGCATCAAAAAGCTTGCCAGCCATAGCATGTTGGCATGTTGTGCTAGTCATAGCATCATCAACATTACAACAACAATTTTGGAGCATGCAATGTTTAAAACAAGCACTCAGAGTTGGGTTGAGTTCATCATCTATTTCAGTGCATAGATAGCCAGTCTTTCAAGAAATTACGTTTTTTTTTTACTTTGGTACCTGTACAGCCGGCGGAGGGAGGAGCTACGCTGGCTGCAGGGTTCGTGTACTGCCATAAGGCATTCGCTGGCGATATGCTGTCACTGGTATTCGACTGGGTATATGCCGTCACTGGTCGTGAGGTTTAGGGCTCTTTCGGGTCAAATGAATGCCGTAGGGCATCATCTGACGATATGGCGTCACTAGTATTCGATTAACATCAGGCGCAACAGGCCTCATTTCATCTTTACCTTTCGTACCTGTCTGCCACAAGCATTTTTGTGCCGAATAAAGGTTTGACCGAATCACCCGAATGTGTGATGTCACTAATTATCACTTGATACGAGTGCACTTAGGCCCCACAGGCACGGTGTATCATGTTCCGTGAAGCATCATCGGATAGCGTGACGTCACTGATATTCGACTAAATGTTGGTCGCAGCAAGCCATGCTTCATTTTTACCTTCGAACCTGTCTACTGCAAGCATTGGCATGCCAAATTTTGGCTACCAAATCGCCTGAGTGTGTGACGTTACTGGTCATAGGTTTCACCGGTGTTTTTGGGCCCAGTGGAGACCACATGGTATCAGCTAAGGACGTCACTGGTATACGACTGATTGTGTGACGTCAATGGTCGTGGGTTTTCGCGGGCTCTTTTGGACCGGCCGAATGCCGTAAGGCATCAGCTGACGATATGACGTCACGGGTATTTGGCTGAACATCAGGCAGCAGGCCATGCTTCATCTACACCTTTCGTACCTGCCTGCTGCAAGCATTGGCGTGCTGAAAGGAGGCGCTGCCGAATGACCTGTGTATGTGTGACGTCACTTGCCATGAGTTTTTATGAATTTTTTGGGGCCAACTGAAGGCCTTTAAGTATAAGCTGACGATGTGGCGTCACTGGCATCCGACTGTATGTGATGTCACTGGTCATGAGATTGGACGGCCTCTTTTTGGCCGACAAAAGGTCATACGGCATTAGCTGACGATGTGACGTCACTGGTGTTCGAATAAACGTCAGGCGCGACAGGCCATGCTCCACCTTTACCTTTGGTACCTGTCCATTGCAAGGATTGGCATGCTGAAGGAAGGCTCTGCCGAATTACCTCAGTGTGTGACGTCACTGACCATGAATTTATATAGACTGTTTTGAACCCACTATAGGCAATACCACATCAGCTGACCATACGACGTCACTGGTTTTCGAATAGACATCATGCGTAACAGGCCATGTTCCATCTTTACCTTTCGTACATGTCTACTGCAAGCATTCGCGTGCTATATCAGGGCGATGCTGAACCATCTGAGTGTGTGACGTCACCGGTCATGGGTTTATACAGGTGCACTTGGGTCACCCAATGTGACAAAGCATCATATCCCGTGAAGCATCGCGGGATGATATGACGTCACTGGTATTCCACTCAACATCAAGCGCAACGTTCCATGCAACATCAGTACCTTTCGTGCCTGTCTTTTACAAACACTGGCGTGCTGAATGAAGACTGCCGAATCTCCTGAGTGTGTAACGTCACTGGCTAAGAGTTGTTGTGGGCTTTTTCAACCCGCTATATGGTATAATGCACCTAGCTGGCGACACGACGTCACTGGTGTTCGACTTAACATTAGGCACAGCAGGTCATGTTCCGTCGTTGCCTTTCGCGCCTGTTAAACAATTGGTGGGCTGAATGATGGCTCTGCCGGATCACCCGAGTGTGTGGTCATGAGTTTTCAGGCTATTTTTGGCTGAGTGAAAGCCAAAAGGCATCAGCTAACGGTATGTCGTCACTGGTAATCCACTGAATATGTGACGTCACTGGTCATGAGTTTTTACGGGCCTTTTTGGGCCGACCTAAGGCCATTAGGCATCATGTAGCGATATGACGTCACTGGTATTCAATTAAGCATCAGGTGCAATAAGCCATGTTTCATCTTTACCTTTCGCACTTATCTACTGCAAGTATTCGCGCGCCACATAAAGGCTCTGCCCAATCACCTGAGCGTGTGATGCAACTGGTCTTCAGTTTACACGGGTTTACTCGGGCTGATTGAAGGACATCAAGCATCATTTGACGATGTGACGTCACTGGTATTCAACTAAACACCAGGCGCGGCAGGCCATGTTCGTGTTTACCTTTCGTACCTGTCTATTGTAAGCATTGGCGTGCTAAAGGAAGACTGTGGAGTCTTTCGAGTATGTAACGTCACTGGTCATGAGTTTTTACGGGCTGTTTTGAACATCCCATAGGGTAAAAACATCAGCTGACGATATGACGTCACTGGTATTTGACTTAACCTCAGGCGCACAGGCCATGTTTCATCTTTACTTTTCGTGCCTGGCTACTGCATGCATCGCGTGCTATATGAAGGCTTTGCCGATTCACCTGAGTATTCACCCACACTCAGGAGACTCGTCAGAGCTTTCATTCAGCACGTCAATACTTGTAATAGACAGGTACGAAAGGTAAAGATAGAACACGGCCTGTTGCGCCTGATGTTAAGTCGGACACCAGTGACGTCATATCGTCAGCCGATGCATTATGCCGTATAGGGGCTTGAAACGAGCCCGTAAAAACTCTTGACCAGTGACGTTACACACTCAGGAGACTCGACAGAGCCTTCATTCAGTGAGCCAATGCTGGCAATAGACAGGTACGAAAGATAAAGATGGAGCATGGCGTGTCGCGCCTGGAGTTTAGTCGAATACCAGTGACGTCATACCGTCAGCTGATGCTTTATGTCCTTCAGTCAGCCCGAGGCAGAGCCTCTGTGTGTCGCGCGAATACTTGCAGTAGATAGGTGCGAAAGGTACAGACAAAACATGGCTTATTACATCTAATGTTTAGTTGAGTACCATTGACGTCATATTTTTATCTGATGCCTAATGGCGTAAAGTCGGTCCAAAAAGGCCCGTAAAAACTCATGGCCAGTGACGTCACACAGTCAGTGGACTACCAATGACGACATATCGTTAGCTGATGCTTTACGGCTTTCACTCAGCCAAAAATAACCTGTAAAAACTCGAGACGTCGCACACTCAGGTGATTCGACAGAGCCATCATTCAGCTCGCCAATAGTTTTACAGGTACGAAAGGCAAAAATGGAGCATGACCTGTTGCGCCTGATGTTAAGTCGAACGCCAGTGACGTCATATCGTTGGCTGGTGCATTATACCGTATAGGGGGTACAAAAGATCCCGTAAAAAGCTCTTGACCAGTGACGTTACACGCTCAGGAGATTCGACAGAGCCTTTGTTCAGCACGCCAATACTTCCAAGAGACAGGTGCCGAGGGTAAAGATGGAACATGATCTGTTGCGCTTGATGTTCAGCCGAATACCAGTGATGTGATATCTTCCCGTGATGCTCCACGGGATATGATGCTTTGTGGTTTTGGGCGGCCCAGGTGAACCAATATAAACTCATGACCGGTGACGTCACACACTGAGACGATTCAGCATTGCCTTGGTGTAGCACTCGAATGCTTGCAGTGCACAGCTACGAAAAGTAAAGATAGAGCATGGCCTGTTGCGCATGATGTCTAGTCGAAACCCGGTGACATCATATCGTCAGCTGATGTCTTGTGGCCTACAGTGGGTTCAGAAGAGTATACAAGTTAATGGTCAGTGACATTACACTCTCAGGTAATTCGGCAGAGCCTTCCTTCAGCACGGCAATGCTTGCAATGGACAGGTAGCAAAGGTAAAGGTGGAACATGGCCTGTCGCGCCTGAAGTTTATTCGAACACCAGTGACGCCACATCATCAGTTAATGCCGTATGACCTTTCGTCGGCCCAAAAGGGGCCGTAAAATCTCATGATCAGTGGCATCACGCACAGTCGAATGCCAGTGACGTCACATCGTTAGCTGATGCTTTACCTAACCTAACCTAACCTAACCTCCCCACCCTATATCCCCTTCAACCCAGCGTCCCATTGGCGTCCATGTTTCATGCCATATATAGGTGCCATATAGTGAGCTTTTATTTAGCTGCCATGTTCTCATTTTGCTTTACATTCCCCACCCAATCCCCCTGCAACCCATGGTCCCGTTGGCGTCGAGGATCAAATTTCATGGATTCTTGTTACCTTGGCCCGGTACATTTTTATGGTTCTTGATGCTGCTTGATGCGCAGTAATGTTGTGACTCGCGCAGTAATGGCGCCGGTGTCGCGGATGCTGTGTGTGTGCGGCGCTCGGGAGCTCGCCATCGTAGTTATAAAAAAATTGAAGGTAAGATCATGAATCTACCTGTTTTGTGATTATTTACGATATGTCCTGCCTTAAGCACGACGAATGGTTTACCTTGGTCCCATACATTTTGTAGAGTTCTTGGTAAGCAGAAATATTGTATTTTCGCAACGGCAATGCAGAAACGGCGCTGGGGGGTCCAGGCGGTGCGGTGCGCGCGGCGATCGGGAGCCCGCCATCGAAGTTATTGAAATTCGAATGTAGGAGCATGATTCTACCTGTTTTGAGATTATTTATGATGTGTCCTGCCTTAAACACGACGGATGGTGTACAATGATTTTTTGTAACGTTAGGTAGGAAAGTACACCCTGACCGGCATCTGACATAGTGGGTGGATTGCTTACATACTAACCCCTTCGTGGCTCGAATCATATCTAACAACATCTTTAAGCTGTGAGTTTTATATGTGATGGCTTTCTGTATTATACATATTGTTTTTTATTTCTTTGCCTTTTTATACTGCTGTTTCATATAGTCTTCCAGTTCGAATCCATCAGGGTAGAAATTTAATAGCCAGATATTAAATAATGTTACCAATTGTGGCTCTGTACTTGCTGCCCTCTATCTGGTATCCTAACAAGTTTATGATGTGTATGCTTTGTGGCAAGTTTGTGTGTCATGAAGTTTTTTTGTCATCCTTGCTTTTTATGCTAACCAGGCTTTGTATAACATAGTATGTGGTAATGCTGTGCCTCATTCTCAACATAACTTGCAAGAGAAACATGCTATTGTGCTTGATAGCCATAACTGTAGTGTGTCTCCATCTATGACACATGGTTTCATATTTCTTCTATAGTGCATATAGCAAACCTGGTGTGGATTACAGTGGGTCACTAGGTGGATGTCTAATGAGTGGGAGCTGCTAGATAAGATGATCACATTTGATCTGTGAAAGCTCTACAAGTTGTTCAGTTATATTTATGAAATGCAGACAATATTTGTGATTATATAGTTATATTTTTCTAAGATATGCCTCTTTGACATTTAAGGTGAGTTATAGAATTAAGTGAATTGTATATTTTGCACCATGCTATCACCTTTGATGATAACACTATCTGCTCTCTACCTCAGAATCAACAGCAGCAGACCATCATTTTGAAGACCCTGAACCATCATCAGAAATGTAATTATATTGAAAGTTTTGTTCCTTAGTTGCTATCCATTCAAGTGAAGTTCTGAGGCACAGCAAAAGGTTATCCTCAAAATCTGTTGCTGGTAGTTTATCAGTGTCACACATTTTGTGAGGCCCTCAGGCTTTCAGTGCATGCCAACCAGACATGTTTGTGGGCTAAGCAGGTGTTCACAAATTACCAGAGGGCATTGTGGTAAAGATGTTTGTGTATGCAGGTGATCCATATCTGGGTCTTATGCACTCATTATGCACTAGCACTTCATAGTCAGGTGTTGGCTGGTACCTTGTGCATTTTTGCACATGGCAATACTGAAGTAGAGCAGTTTGTCTATGGAAGATAACCTTTTTGCTGAATGCTATGATAAGCAGCCATTTTGTTGCAGAGCTGCACCCAGAAGCAAGATGCCATGTAGCCGCCTTTGCCTGGGTCGAGGTCGGCGCGGCCCAGGCTCCTCTATCCGGATTGCTGTCATCGCATCCTTAACTGTGGCATTTCTCATTCTGATTCGGCAAGCTGCTCACAATAAAGAACTCAGAGATATTTTACTGCTAAGAAAATCACAGTTCCAAGAGGTTAGACACAATTTGTGTTCCCCAGGGGCTTTCTGCACAGCCTCCACATCATGTGTGAATGTTGAAGGTCTTCTGTACAGTAGTGCCTTTTTTTGGTGAACACCCCCATATGACATTGTAGGAAACAAGTGGCAAAACACATGAAACATTGCTTTTGCATGATTGCTTAGTAACTGGCAATGTAACCATCATTTGCGCATGCACCCTTAATGGTGTGTCAGCCAGTAGCCACGTGTTATACGCCGAATGGTGTCCAGATAGGCCGGTACTGTGGGAAGATAAATCGGCCACTGTCGCGATTTGCACTTGCCGGCACCCTCTTCAATATTGGCCCCCATATGTTGCTCAGTGTTATTCCTGATATAGCAATACGAGGAGTGGCAACACATGCCGCTGATGGCTAGGGATTCTCGTCAGGTCTCCCTTCAGCATACTGGGTGAGGTAGAGGACGCATGTTCCCATTTCAGGGATGTTGCCTCTGATGATCGCATTTGTTGCAGAATGGTTATTGGGACCGCCTGACCAGTGACCAGATTCATCACCTCGAAAAGGTCGACTGGCATGATCGGGAACAGATCAAACGAGATGCAGAGCGTAAAGGTGAGAATGTGACAGTTTTCACGTGGTACTTCCTGACGGCTATATATGATGTCTAGTTGTATCATGTTTTTTGTTATATATTCGTTAATGGTAAGAGGAGGTACTGTCATGTAGAGGGACTTGGTTATATGCGTTCGGGATGTGCATTTATGGTAGCTCAGAAATATTGTCGTGTTTGTCTTATCTCACAAGATGTTTTTATTTACTGCATTCGATTCTTAAGAAGCAAAAAACACCCTCTGATAAAGAACAACGCTAACTGAGTGGATAAATTAATATGAGCGGTGTTGTATCATTAGTGGTACGTGCAAACAGCAGAGATCGCTGGCAAAAGGTGCTGTGGCAAAGCCGCCAAGATGAACATTGTACGGTGGGGAAAAGGTACTCGCGACCATTTCAGTTGACTTGGTGTAGCCGCTGTCGTGCTGTCACACTGAAGATTTTACCCTTAAAATATTAAAAGCAACCAGGACCACCTATACCAGCTTGCATTTGTATCACCTCACGGGAGACATAGCAAGTGATTTTGATGATTACCATCTCATATTGATGTTTTTGCATGACGAAGTCACCACTCTTAGTTTTCATCGCTATATGATGCTGTAGGATGTGGCCTCAATTGCCTGGGAGCAGCTGGGTTGCCGTGAGCATGTGCACTGGCGGCCCGTGCGGTTATGTGCCTCAGGCCCGGCCGAGAGGGGCCAGAGCTTCCAGCTGCCGCCCGATCTGGAGGCGCAGAAGGACAAGCTCTACAAGGTCAACGGCTTCAACGCCCTGGCCAGCGACCAGATCAGTCTGAACCGCTCACTGACTGATATCCGACATCCCAAGTACGTCACGGCAGTCGCCCTTCCGGTGCTGGGTGCTGGAGTATGTAATGATTGTCACATGCTCGGCGTCAGGTGTTGAAGGACATCCCTATCGCCACCTGCTCGGTGACGAGTATTGTGTTGTCACTTTTGTCCCGTCCTGTTTCGTGTATTACGTGGTCAGAAGTGTTACGGTGTTTCGTCACCACCATTAGCAGGTATCCAAGCACTAAGGTAATATGTTGTTTTACCGCATCAGGTCGAACCAGTTTGCCCCGAGTGGCGTTGTATCTGCTCGATATGTGAAGTCGCGCCATGGTTTCGGAGTCCGTTACAGCAACATCGACGGGGCTAGAGTGGACTGGACCCGCATAACTACCTATTGCCTTTTTGAAGGATAGAGATATTCCAATTGCTCGGTAGCTTTTCTATTCGACTGTGGTATTGATAAAAAATTGAGAAATTCTTGTTTCGTTAGGGTCATTGCGAAGCGTGACATGAATTACTGTTGAGGCGTGTTCTTAATAGACTAGAAAGAAACCAAGGAATGCCTGTTGTTGAATCCGTTTATAATATTTCGTCGCCGGAGACATTTTCGATGCGTCTCGCACCTTCAAAAGTTAAAGGCCGAAGTGTCTTAACCACAGATTGTTTCAAGGATCGGATTTCTTGCAATGAGGTCGGTGCTCTCTGTCATATTATGTATGATATTGTTGTAGCTTCCATTGCAACAAGATGTCGCATACCATCACCGACGCCATGACAGGATATCTTCGGTATCTCAGCCGTGTCTGCCGCCCATGTGTCGGTTGTAAAATTTGATGGCACGATACGGGTGGTAAAGCTGATAACACTGTACGGAGGACCATGTTCCTCGCGTTCGGAATCAGGTGATAACCCTACAGTCTACACCGAGGCGCGAAGTTGCGTGTCAAGGATAATCTTCATTCCGCGTCTTTTGTCGAAAATGTCTAAGGCTAACAGAGTGAATGACTGAGGAGGTTTTTCCAGTTTATACGGATGGATATCGGAAAGGACTAAAGCTACTGCAGAGCTTTGCGCAGACCTCTCAAGAAAGGTTTGTGCAGGCCCGTGGTGACAAGGGTTGCCTCGCTCATTGCATCTGAGATTTGGTTGTGGTAAGGAGCGTGGCAGTTGGCGGGTCTCTGAACGGCGGCGCCATGTGACGGCCCATCATGTGACGATCGCCGCGTGACGGTCCGCCGTGTGACGGCCTTCCGTGTAACGGCTCGCCGTGTAACGGTCCTCCGTGTGATGGTCCGCCACTTGATGGTCCGCCGTGTGACAGTCGTGCATATGACAGTCGGTCGTGTGATGGTTGTCCATGTGACGGTCGTCCATGTGACGGTCCGCCGTGTAACGGTCCGCCTTGTGACGGCCCTCCGTGTGACAGTCCTCCATCACACGAAGGACCGCCGTGTGACGGTCCACCGTTTGACGGCCCGCCGTGTGACGGTCCACCGGCTGCGGTCCAGGTGCGACTCGCGCCACTACATAAGCCAATTACCGACGGCCAGCGTGATCGTGCCGTTCCACAACGAGCATCTGTCGACGCTGCTTCGCACGGCGGCCAGCCTCATCAACCGGGCACCGCGCCACCTGCTACGCGAAGTGTTGCTCGTCGACGATGCCAGCACCAAAGGTAGGCGACGCGCCGGCCGGCTGCCGGTCGGCGCCCTAGAGGAGCCTGTGGGCGGGGGTGGGGGGGGGGGGGGGTCAGGTCGCCCGCCACAGTCCCTGCAACCGTAGCTGCTGGCAGGGTGCTGCACGATGGTGGGTGTTCAGGGAGGCGTCAGCGAGCCGTGTGAGAAGGTAGAGTATGCTTTTTGTGGCTCTGTTACGTATTTTTGTCGGAAAGTGGTGCAGTGTCAAAATTTTGGGTAGACGAGGTGTGGCGTAATTACGTCTTACCATACGTGGTGTCGCTGGAATGTGTGGAATGCGATGCCGTCACAGTTCACGCTTCAGCATATTTTACTGGATCTACATCTGCTGATTGCTAAACGTAAATGATGGCTTTGTAAAGCTGTGTGAAGCTTTGTAAACTAAGCTCAACATAGTATGTCTTAAAATTTATGTTTGCTCTTCAAGCAAGCCCACGCGGGCTGTTCCTTTGATTGGCTGTATCGTTCTTGCATGTCATCATCGTTGATGACGTGGTACTCAAAATAAACTGAAGACGAAATAAAGCAACTAGAAATTGTCTTCAAGCTCAGGAGTTGGTGTGATTCCGGGCGCATGCGGGTGTACTCTTGCATGGTCTTAAGTGCACAACAATTTGGTTGTTACGCTTCAACATCACGTAAACATAAAGCATCCTTTTTTAATATTGGTGAAGCCAGGTCCAACTAGCGTAATACCAATTCATATTTCGTCAGCAACGTAGTCTAAACGTGAGTTATTTCCTTCCGTCGCCAGACATTCCCAGTGAGCCCAGACATTGTCTGTGACCCCAAGCCTAAGAGTGAGTTATGTCCTTCGATAACCAGGCATTCCCAGTGGGTCCAGATACAGATTCCGTTGTGATCCCGGGAGCTGCCAGTGATCCGGCCTTGTGTCAGCCGCCGACGTCATCAGGCTCCGTGTCGGCCACCGACGTCATCAGGCTCTGTGTCAGCCGCCGACGTCATCAGGCTCTGTGTCAGCCGCCGACGTCATCCAGCTATGTGCCAGCCGCTGACGTCATCGGGTTCTGTGTCGACCGCTAACGTCAGCGGGCACTGTGTCGGCCACTAAGGTCACCGTGCGCTGCGTCGGCCGCTGACACCGCCATGCGCCCGTCCGGCCCCAGACCACGCCAAGGCGCCCTACCTGGACGACCTGGTGCAGCGTATGTTCCACGGCGTGGTGCGCGTGGTGCACCTGGCGCGCCGCTCGGGGCTCATCACGGCACGGCTTGAGGGCGCCCGGTTGGCCACCTCCGACGTACTCATCTTCATCGACTCGCACTGCGAGGCCGGAGTCAACTACCTGCCGCCGCTGCTCGGTGGGTGGGCGCCGCCCGGGACGGCCGGGCTCTGCTGACTGTGGAGTACGATCCGAGGTCCGTGAACACATGGCTCTCATATAACACACAGTTCGCTGGAATTGGACGTAAGACTGCGCTCTGCAATTGGCCGTGGGTCGCAGCAGCTCTTTAGTGGCTTCCCATGTTAACCGCGTGAGGTGGTGCTGCGCGATATCAGAGTCGGGGTGCCGAGGTCGCAGTCACTGGTCGCGTTAGCTGGGCGGCTGGAGACGCTATCAGCAGCTACGTCACACTTTGATGTGCGCCTCCAACCAGTTCCACCGATTTGGAAAAGCGACACAAATAATTTACCACACTGACGCTTTGCGACGACTGTTGTCGCCTAGTCTTCCTGTCCAGCCGTTTACACCAATAGGTGCCTCTGTATGTAACTTCATTCGTCTGGTATGCCTTGATAGGCATCCAAAGTGCACTTCTATGACGTCAAGTTACCCTTTTATCGCATCGGCGGGCATGGACCTCACAAACACTGTTTTGACCGACAGAGCCAATAGCATTGGACAAGCGCACCTGCGTCTGCCCCTTCATCGACGTGATCGACTTCGAGGACTTTCAATACCGGGCGCAGGATGAGGGCGCGCGAGGCGCCTTCGACTGGGAGTTTTTCTACAAACGGCTGGATCTGCTGCCCCAGGACAAGGCCAACATGCCCGAGCCGTTCCCGTGAGCAGTCATCACGCCACTGGAAGGCCGCTGGGATGCTGCTGATAGCGATTAGGGACTGTCTGGCACAATGGCTGCTTGCCACATATGGCGCCGGAGTGCTCAGCAGAGGCTGCAGTACGCCGTGCATCATGTTCGGGACGGGAGCGCTGCGGAGATGGTGCGGCGCCGGAGTGCTCAGCAGGGGCTGCATCTACGCCGGGAATCACGTTCGGGACGGGAGCGCTGCGGAGATGGTGCGGCGCCGGACCGTGACTGACGGTGGCATAGTAACATTGCCGTGTGTTGTACTGTGGTCTGTCCACTAACGCTGAGGCAGGTCCCGGTCTCCTGTGGTCTGTCCACCAACGCTGAGGCAGGTCCCGGTCTCCTGTGGTCTGCCCACTAGCGCTGAGGCAGGTCCCGGTCTCCTGTGGTCTGTCCACCAACGCTAAGGCAGGTCCCGGTCTCCTGTGGTCTGTCCACCAACGCTGAGGCAGGTCCCGGTCTCCTGCGGTCTGTCCACCAACGCTGAGGCAGGCCCCGGTCTGCTGTGTTCTGTCCACGAACGCTGAGGCAGGTCCCGGTCTCCTGTGGTCTGTCCACGAACGCTGAGGCAGGTCCCGGTCTCCTGTGGTCTGTCCACTAACGCTGAGGCAGGCCCCGGTCTGCTGTGGTCTGTCCACTAACGCTGAGGCAGGACCCCGTCAGCCCGTGTCGGGACGCTGCGATCTCCTGCTAAGCCATGTTCTCGCGATGTGATCCGCTTCAGCCCATGGCTTCACGCCCTGGTCTGTTCAGTGGGTTCTCACTCGTGCCTTGGTCCCGGTCAGCCCGTGTGTCACCTTCGGCGGTGTTGCTCCCCCCCCCCCCCCCCCCCCCCCCCCCCCCCCCCCCCTGGGACGCGGTGTCTTACGCTGCGGTCGCCGTCGTGAGTCCGCACTCTCATGCACTCTCCGCACTTTCTTTCCGTGGTGGTGACATCACCGTATGGCGTGCGCAGGTCTCTGGTGATGGCCGGCGCCGTGGTGTCCGTGGTGGTGACATCACCGTATGGCGTGCGCAGGTCTCTGGTGATGGCCGGCGCCGTGGTGTCCGTGGTTGTGATATCGCCGTATGGTGTGCGCAGGTCTCTGGTGATGGCCGGCGCCGTGGTGTCCGTGGTTGTGATATCGCCGTATGGTGTGCGCAGGTCTCCGGTGATGGCCGGCGCCGTGGTGTCCGTGGTGGTGACATCACCGTATGGCGTGCGCAGGTCTCTGGTGATGGCCGGCGCCGTGGTGTCCGTGGTTGTGATATCGCCGTATGGTGTGCGCAGGTCTCTGGTGATGGCCGGCGCCGTGGTGTCCGTGGTTGTGATATCGCCGTATGGTGTGCGCAGGTCTCCGGTGATGGCCGGCGCCGTGGTGTCCGTGGTGGTGACATCACCGTATGGCGTGCGCAGGTCTCTGGTGATGGCCGGCGCCGTGGTGTCCGTGGTTGTGATATCGCCGTATGGTGTGCGCAGGTCTCCGGTGATGGCCGGCGCCGTGGTGTCCGTGGTTGTGATATCGCCGTATGGTATGCGCAGGTCTCCGGTGATGGCCGGTGGCTTGTTCGCCATATCGCGCGACTTCTTCTGGGAGTTGGGCGGCTACGATCCAGAGCTGGACATCTGGGGCGGCGAGCAGTACGAACTCTCGTTCAAGGTCGGTGCTGCCGTCGCTGGGGTTCGGCGCCGAGCGAGACGGGCCGCGCTGCCGTGATGGGTCCGGACAGTGTGACCACTCTAGCTGATGTCCCCCTGAGGCTCGGTACCGAGGAGCGCGGGCCGCCCGGCGGTGACAGGTGCGGGCAGTGTGACCACTCTAGCTGATGTCCCCCTGAGGCTCGGTACCGAGGAGCGCGGGCCGCCCGGCGGTGACAGGTGCGGGCAGTGTGACCACTCTAGCTGATGTCCCCCTGGGGTTCGGTGCCGAGCAGGACGGACCGCCCGGCGGTGACAGGTGCGGGCAGTGTGACCACTCTAGCTGATGTCCCCCTGAGGCTCGGTACCGAGGAGCGCGGGCCGCCCGGCGGTGACAGGTGCGGGCAGTGTGACCACTCTAGCTGATGTCCCCCTGAGGCTCGGTACCGAGGAGCGCGGGCCGCCCGGCGGTGACAGGTGCGGGCAGTGTGACCACTCTAGCTGATGTCCCCCTGAGGCTCGGTACCGAGGAGCGCGGGCCGCCCGGCGGTGACAGGTGCGGGCAGTGTGACCACTCTAGCTGATGTCCCCCTGAGGCTCGGTACCGAGGAGCGCGGGCCGCCCGGCGGTGACAGGTGCGGGCAGTGTGACCACTCTAGCTGATCGATGAATCCGTATGAGCCGTACGCTATGTGCTACGTAATAATGAATCACAGCACATTTTAATGTTATTGCTGCACAATGCGCAGCACAAATTCATTTCCCAATTCCAGGAAGGGCGATTTTGTTGCCAAGGTAAAAATACCCATGTCGATCCAGGGAATAGTAAAGTCACCAGATGACTTCCGTGAGATAGACCATATATTGCAGCTGCTTCTTGTGTGTGTGTATCCAAGACGCTGTTAATGTTTTTCTATATCTGTTCATTAGTCCCTTGTTTTGGTCGCTAAGTAAATAATGCATAAATCAATCAAATAAATTGAGGGACTCAAGAGACCGTTGCCTGTTTCATTCCAGATCTGGATGTGTGGAGGCCAGATGTTGGATGCTCCCTGCTCGAGGATCGGACATGTTTACAGAAAGTTCGCCCCATTTCCCAATCCCAGAAAGGACGATTTTGTCGCCAAGGTATAACTTCATGTCGATGTTAGGAACAGTAAAGTCACTGGATGGGTTCCGTCAGATAGACCGTACGTTGCAGACAGTGTATATCCGAGACGCCGTTAATGTTTTTTTGATCGCTGCACTAGTCCCTGGTCTCAACGTTAGTGATTTTAAGGTGAACGGTAAGATCATTGAAGATGAGAACTGTCCGATGGTTATTTCTTGTACAGCAGCGCTTCATCTCGGAGGCTGGGCGGGCGCTCCGCTGAACCAGGCGTGTGTCGTCACCGTCGCCTGTCGCGAAGCGTGCTCACCGGCATCGTCTCCGCAGAACTACCGGCGCGTGGCCGATGTGTGGATGGACGACTACGCCAAGTACCTGTACAAGCGACGGCCGCACTACCAGCGCGTGGACCCGGGCGACCTGGCACCGCAGCGGGCTATCCGCGAGCGGCTCAAGTGTCGCTCCTTTCAGTGGTTCATGGACACGGTAGCGTTCGACCTGGTGAAGAAGTATCCACCCATCGAGCCAGGCGACATCGCGCACGGCGAGGTGGGTCGAGTCACAGCGGCCACGGACTGCGCCGGGGCTGGGCCGCCGGGAAGGGCCGCTGTCGGTGCTCGGTGACAGGGCCGCCCTGACCTACCATAGGGTGACTCGATAAATAAACTCGAATTAATGCGGAGTCGAGCCACCCGTATTGCCTTTTTGGAGGCCAGCAGTGTTCCATTTCGTATGCATACGGAATTTAGCTACTGAATGAGCATCCGTTGCTGCATGTGGTGTTCAGTAGCAATTTCGTATGCAGCTCGTGGATTCCTCGGCTGTGTACCCCGCATCAGTCGTGTCGGTCAGTCCGGTTGAGCCTCGAGGTACATGCACCCCACCAGCGCTGACGGAAGGCTTTCTTCCCCGTCGTCTTCAGATCCGCAGTGTGGCAGACCCTTCACTGTGCGTGGACACGCGCTTCAAGCCGCACTCGCAGCGCTTCGGCATGGAGAAATGCATGAAAGACGAGCCGGGCCTGGGCGGCGAGCAGACGTTCCACCTGACCTGGCGCAAGGACCTACGCGCCGGCCAGCGCCCCCTCTGCTGGGACGTGCCCGGCGGCGACCAGCAGGCGCCCGTCTTCGTCTGGGACTGCCACGGCCAGCAAGGCAACCAGTTCTGGACCTATGACACGGTGAGCCGGCCGCTGCGATCGGCTGCCGCTCAGCTGTCGCTCAGCTGCCGCTCAGCCTGCTGGGATCCGTGTGACGTGCGCGCTACTGGCCGAGGGGCCGGTGGGCTAGAGCCGTCCTATTTATTCAGCCGTGCCCGGCATGGGATGCCGTTTGCGGCAGCCTGTTTTACTTTTTACTCGGGGCAGAGGGCTTCACTTGAGGTTCATATGCGTAAAATGCATCCGTTCATTATCGTTACTGGCATATGCATCCATACGCCTACACATCTCGTCATATGCGCACACTTGATTGCCATTTGTTCATCATTTAGCAGTGGCATTGTCATTGCCATGTACAGCCCTTGTCATAACTGCCAGATACATCCCTTGTCATAACGGCTACCATAAATATAGCACTAGTTGTACTCATCGTCAGTGGAGACTGTGGTTCGGCTCCATGTGATCCCGCGTGGTTGTGTCTGTTGTATCCTATGTCCGGAAGTCGTTAACCACAAGAAATATTTCACTTTTGGGATAATGTACCGTTTGGGGTGGTAAATTTGCGCGCCCGCGTGGTTTTTCCGCTCAGCTGTCAGTCTGCGGTTGTTGAATTCCGTTGGCGCAGATAAAGATCCCAGCTGGTTACTGCTGGGTGTCGGTCCCTGACCGGGGCACTGTGACCGGTGTCGCCGGGTCGGGTCCATGTCTTCTGGCAACGACTCTCCTCCCGGCCGCAGAAGCACCAGTGGCTGGTGCACGCTGGCAGCCGCCGGTGCCTGGACGGCAGCCCCGAGCGGCGCGAGATATACGTCAGTCGCTGCGACCCGAAGGCGCGCACCCAGCGCTGGACCTTCGAGCACTTCAACGCCACCGAGCTGGCCAAGATCTCGTACTGAGCCGCCGGCCGCTGCCGCCGGGCGGCGCTGTGATAGCGCGTGCCTTACTCGATGGGACGGGCTCCTGACAGTGATCGTCGATGGCCCGACGCTCGAGGGGACTGCCGCGGACTGCTCCCGAGACTCTGCGAGACTTGCTGTGATTATTGCTCTCCCCGGCGCCGTCGGTCGGCGTTGGGATCTGCCGGATGCTGGGTCGCTCTGCCATTACTACGTGCCAGTGAATGCTTATTAAATTTATCATTGTTTCAAATCGGCGATGCGCGTCGTGGGTGTGTGATCTTGTCAGATAGCATGACCCGTGTTCGGACTGTAAGGTGGAGACCAGTTGCAGTGTCTTACCAGCTCATGGGCGGGAGCTAAATCACCTGCTGCGAGGGGAATGTTCCAAAACGTGAACCTAAGCAAAGAGCTGCTATCATTTTTCCGATTCCGCTGCCGACGCACTTGACCTCATTTTCAGCGGCTGACTTAAAAGTTGTGCTGTTTGCTGAGGGCATCTGCTGTCCTGACTGCTTGCGTAGCGTGATAAGACTCAATGACAACAAGCTCCAGTCTTCGATTATTTAAACGCCGACTTGGTGAGGGGCCCTTTTTTGAGTGCCTTGTTTTCTTCGTGGTCTGTTTTGTCATCAGTGATTGTGCCATGGAGTAGTAGTCGATATGTGGCCTTTCAGCGGCCAGATTTTATCCGTAGATTAATAGTGCAAGTTCTGATTTTATCCGAGTACCTAAATTTTTTGCCGTGTATGTCGCGTTTTTGCCGTCCATGATTTGTACCAAATGGTGCGTTTGCGAGGGGTCAGTGTTTGCACACCGCACTGCTGTGTCCATTCCACGTGATCTACCGCGATCACTCACTGCATTCCGTGTGGTCGGCACGCGGCGCCCGCGCCGCGCGGCCCGGTCAGCTCGTGACCGTGCGGCGGCCGCCGGCGGCGCCGTGATGTAACCGTGACTCGAGCTGAGGCGGTTCCAAATTTCCTCGTGGCGAGTGGTGTGCGTTTGGGCATTATTGGGTTTGGTGGGGTTCGGGGGTTGGTTGGCTGCTGCCATAACTCGGGCCATCTTTGGTCCGGTGGTCCGGGTGGCCCGCTCGTTGTTGTAGTCGTAGGATCATGGGATGTGAGTTGGGGTCCAATCTTCTGTAAAAATCGCTGGTGCTGTGCCTGCGGTGTGGGACGGTCGGCGCCGGGCTGCTCAGATGGATGCTTAATCGACGAAGGCTCAGGTAGAGTACCTCGAGCTGGTGGAGCGCATTCTGCGCTTAGTATGTTACAGGAGCTGCCGTGAGGTGCTGCCGTCGGCGGAGAGTGGGAAGTTCCTCTGGTGTCGTGCGTGACGCGGCGTGCGTGCTCGGTGCTTCTCGTCTGCCATTGCGATGTGAGCCGGCAACCCCGGTGTGTGCGAGGTGCAATACTGCGAAGGTTGTCTATGCAGGTTACGAATCCGTCACAAAGATGGCCCCGTCGCGGTGCCAGCGCGTGGTTGTCACGCGCCGTTATCAGGTTCAGTGCCGTAGCGTTGTCACGGTGTCAGCTCCAGCCCCTGGCAAGATGGTCGTCGAGCGTCGACACCATGCCGTTCCACTCACGCAGGTACACTGCTTTTTTGCTATTTCCCACTCAACTGTTTGCTCAAATCCAGGATGCGGAATAAAAGCGTCAGTTGGACCGATTTTCCTGAGCGGTGTTATGCGACAAACATTTTAGCGGTGAACTTAGTAATGAGTTGTGATTCTTGCTGAAGAGTTATGGGGGCTGTTGTTATAAATGTGGTTCATTTGGCTGACATGAAACATCGCTGCATGCTATTACCGGGGGTACAATAGTGCTGCCGATCAAGAAATGTTAGCGCCGTGGGTGCCGGATTAACGCCTCTTCTCCCCCCCCCCCCTGCCCCTTGCATGAGGTACGGATGCGCTGGAGGCTGAAATTCGCTTGTTGCGCGGAAAGTACGCCCGTCGCCTCCGTATTTTTTAGCACCGCCTTGAGAAAATGCTATACAATGGAACCCCGTGCGTCGCAATTTTCAATATCGCTTGAGGGAGTCAGCAACAATTCAGCTGCGCCTGCTGTCGGCGGGCCTTAACGCAATAATGACCAACGAAATCCAGTTTGGAGGACTGATCTGATGGTGACGCACGATGCGCGGTGTGGATGGATCTCGACGTAACAGTGACGGACGGATTTAAGGGGTGGGACAAAGCGCATAGCAGCCATGGACGAATGTGGTGGTGGTGGGCCTAATGGTAGCCGGTCAACAGCCAGGCTACGTTGGTAGGGTATGATGGTATGGACAGATCAGCCTGACAAGACAGGCCACATGCACGACAGGTCTGGCTCATTTGTGAATCGTCGAGATCTCGCTGCACCCGCTAGGTAGGCTTGAATCATTGTGTATGGATCATTCATTGCATTACCTCGAGAAAAACAACAACAAATTGGTCAAAGGAGCACACGGGGTATTGGTGCATCGGGGGCGGCAAGGTGTGTGTCCGCAGTCATGCCTTAGACGGTAATGATCGCAGGCACGGCCAACAGAGCGTAAGCTGGCCAGCTGATGTCCCGCGCTTAAAACTAAACCATCGGTGCACTTGCCCGCACTAGAAAAACGGGCTGGACGAATCGGGGGAGCCCGGGCAGCTACACCAAGACCTTCAGTGCCTTCGTCATGTGTGTGAGAAGCGTCTCGTCGCATAACGCAGGCAACTTATAGTTAATGCTTAAGCTAGTGGCATAAATGCTAAACAATTGATCATTTCGAAACATGGTTGGAGGCGCTGGAATAATCAAATTCAGTATCTCAGATAATACAAGGTTCATACAGGAGAGGGCCGCACAGGTCCACGCACCATAGCAGCAGACATCTGAACCACGTCGCTGATGCCGGACCTGCTGGCACCGGCGACACGGTCTGGTCGGGACAGCCGGGCTTATAATCGAGCATCCAGTCAGGATATCCGGTACATCTGCAGCGCCCAATCCGGGCAACAGTGAACTGGACTGGCTGGACCATTCGCTGGCTACCATCGGCATCGCCCGGAGCCTGTCACGCACCGAGGGCTGGTGCAGGTCACTAGCGCGGCCAGTGCCGGGCCCGTTCACCTTCACGGCCGGGCCTCTCCCCCCCCCCCCCCCCGCAACAGCAGGCCGTTGGTGCGCCGCTCGCGCGGCGTGTCTCACGCGCCGTTAGTTTTGATTCGTCTGGCACGGGGCGGCCATGCCCGGTCGGTTTTGTGGCGCGCCAAGGCGGTCACCGGCGTGAGAGCGTCCAATTCATGAGACTAGATGACCCGGCCCGGGTCGGGCGACGTGGCGGCCGCTGAATTAGCTGGCCAGTCGGGCGACCGGTCGCAGCGCCAACAGCTGGCGCAGAAGACCCAGCAGCGCCACCCAGACGGCACGCACGCGGCTGGAGCGAGCCGCTAGCGCCCGCCACGCCAGCAGGAATAGGAGCAGACGCGACGCGTGGTGCAGGTAGTACATCCTGCCGGCAGGACGGGAGGTTAGCGGCCGGTCGGCACTCATCTCAGGCAGCCGGCGTGCAGGGCTAGGTCGGTCAGCCGGTGCGCAGGGTCACGTCAGGTGTGACGCTACGCAAGGTCACGTCAGCCAACCCGTGCGCATGGCCACGTCAGCCGACCCGTGCGCAGGGCCACGTCAGCCAGCCGGTGCGCAGGGTCACGTCAGGCAGCCCGTGCGCAGGGTCACGTCACGTCTGACGTTTCGCCGCGTTATGACCATCGGATCCGGCGGTCCATGCGGATTTCGCAGCACGCTGGGCTTCCACTAGTCGCCAGAGGTGGGGCTGGCGTCTCCCACTCACATGCGCATGTGGCGCCGTGCCTGCTCCAGTCGGTCGTCCTCCTTCAGGATGAAACGGCGCACGCCGTTACAGTAAGTCGCCATGTAGCTCTGCCAGTCCAGGTCCTGCGAAATGGACCGTCACTCGGTGAACCGCCGGCGACACGCGCTGGGCGCCTTACTAAGCCGCTTATGTAAGCCGTTTTGGTACAGCGGTGGTGGTGAAAGGCTTTCCCTCTCACATATGGTGCCGGCGGAGAACACCTAATGGAACTGACGGCTCCGTCAAACGCCACGCAGGCCGCGTATTCAACAAACCGCGGATGACGAGATTGTGTACTGCGGAATGGAAATGACAAACAAGTGTCGTAGCGTCAATCAGACTGCAATCGAAAAGACATTCATATGGTCTCGAATGCGTTGTTTCTTCTTTTCGTAGACGGAACAGATGGCCATAATGCGTACTGGAAAATAGGAATAACGAACGAGTGTCACAGCTCCGATCTGTTGGCGGTGGAATGGTCATGTATGTGAGCTCAGAGGCGTTGTTTCTCTTTTCGCGGACTGAATACTGCCCTTCGGTCGCATGTCACTGTGCCCCTCAAGAATACCCACTCAGCATGTAGTTTACGCAGGACACCTGGCATACATGTGACATGCGTATGGAATGATGCGTATGAGAAAGAGACCTTTTGAGAAGACGTATAGGACACCGCAGTTTAGCTTAATCATTTTTTTAAAACGTGATCTGTGATTCCTAGTACTGCTGAGGAGCATCCCGAAAATAGAACAATTTCAATCCAGTGATTATGGCAAACGCTGTGACTGCACAGGTACAGGACGTTCCCGGCAAAGGGACGCGAATTTAACTAACGCATATTTCAGACGCTAAGTCCCATTGCAACGCGAATAATGCATCGACATCAAGAACATTCGCTGATGTTGCGCATCGGCCAACGGCCATCGGCCCTATGTCACTCTTTTTTTGTCTCCTACAATGAGATTAATATTGGTCCCAACAGCCCACTGAGTCCAACAAAGCCCTCTGAGCTTAAGGACCAACGACGCCTCAATCGTTGAAAGAGCACTAGGCGGCGCACTTTTCGCTGGCAGCGATGTGCTTCGCGAACCTCAGTGAAAGCCTTGGTAGACCACAAATGGTAAGTTCGGCTGTCGACTTCGCCGTTTAAATAAAAGTGCGCCGCGCCGCCAAACTAGATCTGGTCTATGAACGATTGGTTAGATTCGCATGAGCCATGGAACCAGGCATCGAAGCGCATGCGCGCATTGTAATCGGCTGGTGGGAACTTCACGCTTGAGGTTACCCTGAAAGCGAACAGACTGAGCCCTTACCTTGCCAGTTCAACGCAGTGACCTTGCTACATTCCTCACCCGGGCCGACGTATGGATCTGTGAAGCCCCGCAGCCAGATCATTCATGCTTTTCCAATCTCGGTCAACGGTCTCTTGGCTCGTTTCTTCGGGCTGACGCTGCCAGTCGGGTTTCAACGCTGCTGTTTACGATAAACTTTCCTCATGGCGTCAAACAGCGTTTTGGTGATCGTGTTTTTTGGTGTTTTAACCTGCCATATAAACTACTTTTCGTGTCTCAGTGCTGTTTTTTTCAGTGCTGCTGCAAATCCTGAGGTCGGATTTTGCTTAGCACAACCAATTCACTAGCTTTACCGTCTCGTCTTCTATGCACGATGTCATGGTGTCTCCAGGAGCGCTTGGACATGAAACAAGGCATTGAGATGGCTTTCAGAAGCCATGTGATTCGTGCTGCCGTTTCCTATGCAGAGAGCCACTCCCTGAGGAAATCTGTCCGTGTTTCTTGGAACTCCCGGCACCTTTCAAGAGGCGCATTTGTCTATGCATGTCTTCCAAGAAGGTGCGGATGCTTCCGGGCCAACGCCATCAACGGAGTCATCCACCTGTGCGTTTCGTTTTGTTTGCGTCCCGTAGCTGAGTCACTTAAGGATATTGCGTCATCGATTTTGTCATCATGTAGCTTGGTGTCACGCAGGCACGACGATTCCCGCTTATGTAACAGGTGCGCAACACCGGCAACACCATTCTGGCGCTGCAAAACACAGCTCATTATTTCGTCTGAGCACGTCCGACTGCTCCGGCCCGCCGCACCGGCGCCCAGTCATGCCCGTGCGGTGGTTCGGGCGCCGCCAGCAGCGGCGGAGACGGCCGAGTGCCGGTACCCACGGCATCAGTGGGCGCCGCCCGACGGTCAACAGACACAGCCGTGGTGCATCACTGACTCATGGCTGTAACGGCGTGAGCGATCGCCCAGCCGGCTGGCCCAATGACCGGCAGTGCAAGAGGAAAGTCAGACTAGAAGAAAGCTCCCCAGTGAGAACTTCTCAAAAGGTCGTGCTCTCGGCACTCACCGTCGGGAGTCAAAATGGGACCATTAGGCTGCTTTGCATTTCAAGGCGTGTGGGACCGATGTCCTTTGAGCTGCGTCATTTCCATCACAAACGCAATGCAGGCCAACTTCCTGCCATTTAAAGGCTAGAACACTTATATTATGGCGCAACTACTCTGTGTCATCCACGGCCCACCTGCGTGTTCACCTACCTTCAGCTGAAAATGAAACTCTTCGCGGTCGTCCTCCGACATCTGGTCCAACAGCCACGAGACGTTGTTAGTCTTGAACGTCCACTGGTGCGTGAGGAAGTACGCTAGGCAGCCCGAGGCCTTCAGCATTTTCTTGTGTACCCGCACCAGACTGAAGGACACAGAAAACACCACGATGACCTAAAGTGCAGCTCGAAGCGCTGGGTAACGGCATTGACCATACTGCGCCGTTTTACAACGCGTTCCCACCAGAATGACAAATAACACGGGCACCAGCTGAGCGTTTGACCGTCTAGTGAAACCCACGCCATCGAAGCTGGCTAAAGCAGTCGTCATGATCATCGCATCAACCAAGGGTACATCTACTGCAAAACCCTGACGGCAAAACCTTGACGAGCGAGGCGCGTGAGGTGGCACTGCGAGCCAGTACAGGCTGTAGTGGCAGATGCTAACTCACATTGGTCTCTTGCCGAGCAGCATGACGACCGCGTCGACTATGTAGGCGGGCAGGAAGTGGCAGATGCCGACCCAGAAGTTGTTGAGTAGCGGCGAATTGGTGAAGGTGGCACCCGGGTACCAGATAACGTTGCGCATGGGGGTGCGTCGCAGCTCCTGGATGCCCCAGTTCAGCACCTGGTGCCAGTAGATGGGCCGGATGGTGCCGGACGAGCAGTTATACACCATCATCTCGCGCGGCCTGCCGGCACACAGGAGTGCATCATCAGCTATCGAGACCCGCCGAAGCAGAGCTACGTCCTTAGCCACCGCAGCCCACCCACAAAGACGTACGATCTTGCTACCGCGGCCCGCCGACCCCGGCGTACGTCCTCGACCCCTTCAGCCTGACGACATAGAGGTACGTCCTCCGTCTCTTCGGCCCACCGACACTGAGGTACGTTCTCCGTCCCATCGGTCTGCCGACAAGGAGGGGCCAGGTCGTGACCCGGGTGGGTCACACGTTAAAGCTCAGCTCCAAACCGCGTACCTGGTCGATCCGGCCAGCCACGGCCCGGCGGCCGCCAGCCGCCTGCCTGGACGGATCGTGAGTGCAGGCTGGCGTGGGACCGACCTGCGGTGGCGGCGTGCCAGCAGCTCCCCTTCCGTGTACGTTATACCAATGCGGCGCGAGGCAAGACCGGGCTCTGCTACTGGCGAGCTGCCCTTCCCTCGGTTAGTGTGACGCATTTCTAGGCGCTCGATAATGGTCTGTCCACCTGCAAACGGGTCTCCTTGGACGCGCGGCGTCTAGGAGGCCTCGCCACGGCGATGGCGAAAAGTGGTAAAGCCCCGCAGTGTGTTTAGATGTCACGATTGCCAGGAAAGCCATATCAGCAGACACGGAAATGCAATGGGAAACGCTTTGCTCAAGGTTCAAATGTTAAATGCGTCTCGCAAACATTACTTTGTGTTAAATATTGCTGATACGCGCATGTTGTTCTCTTCAACTCTCATCTAATAGCTGTCGGGAAATTGCTCTATGGATACCATTCTCTTCCGTCAGCGATGCAAATCGTCTGGCTGCAGCCGACCTTGGGTTGACGGCGGCGGCAGCCGGCGGAGCGCGCCGCCGCTCCCCGGCCGGCCGTGTAGACACTGTGACGGGGCGGCGCGACGCGGCCGCCGGCCCTCCCAGCAGGCCGGGCCGATCGGACGTGGAGGGTGCGCGCCTAACGATCGCTGCTGCTCACTTTCGGGCCCAGGCAGCCGGCGGCGTAACGGACGGGGATGTCACAGGCCTGCACGGCGCGGTGGGCGCCGACTCAGGCGCCTCTTTAGCAGCGGGCGAGGCTGGTCTCGCAAAGCTTGTAGCAAGGAAACTGCAACCAGAAGGTCGCCGCTAAGAGAGAGAGAGAGAGAGAGAGAGAGAGAGAGAGAGAGAGAGAGAGAGAGAGAGAGAGAGAGAGAGAGAGAGAGAGAGAGAGAGAGAGAGAGAGAGAGAGAGAGAGAGAGAGAGAGAGAGAGAGAGAGAGAGAGAGAGAGAGAGAGAGAGAGAGAGAGAGAGAGAGAGAGAGAGAGAGAGAGAGAGAGAGAGAGAGAGAGAGAGAGAGAGAGAGAGAGAGAGAGAGAGAGAGAGAGAGAGAGAGAGAGAGAGAGAGAGAGAGAGAGAGAGAGAGAGAGAGAGAGAGAGAGAGAGAGAGAGAGAGAGAGAGAGAGAGAGAGAGAGAGAGAGAGAGAGAGAGAGAGGAGAGAGAGAGAGAGAGAGAGAGAGAGAGAGAGAGAGGAGAGAGAGAGAGAGAGAGAGAGAGAGAGAGAGAGAGAGAGAGAGAGAGAGAGAGAGAGAGAGAGAGAGAGAGAGAGAGAGAGAGAGAGAGAGAGAGAAGAGAGAGAGAGAGAGAGAGAGAGAGAGAGAGAGAGAGAGAGAGAGAAGAGAGAGAGAGGAGAGAGAGAGAGAGAGAGAGAGAGAGAGAGAGAGAGAGAGAGAGAGGAGAGAGAGAGAGAGAGAGAGAGAAGAGAGAGAGAGAGAGAGAGAGAGAGAGAGAGAGAGAGAGAGAGAGAGAGAGAGAGAGAGAGAGAGAGAGGGAGAGAGAGAGAGAGAGAGAGAGAGAGAGAGAGAGATGTTTGCGTTTCAGGCCGTTTTCTGCGACCACATCCACAGCTAGTCAATTATCGGAGACTACCGCTGATATGTGAAGTCAAACACGATAGGTCACCCGGATTGTCCTGCAACAGCTGCAGCTCACTTAGCACGATCCGTGTAACACTATGGTTGGCACCTGACAACAAAACAGACATGGATGTGATTGGCGAGGCTATACTGCCATTTTCTATTAAAGCACTGTCAAGTGATTCTTGCAAAAGACCCAGGCGTCAAACGTAATTTACAACTTTACTTTGATCGGTGCTGAGTCTAGGTGTCATTTTTTGTTCGTGCCTGTCGTGAGGCGTCCGTGTAGCTCTTGTTACAAACAAACGCCTTGGGCTTCGGATAAAGCGCGGATACAGGTAAAGCGCAGGTCGGTATTACCTTCCTACAGACGTGATTGCCAATCACGTGCACGGCCCGGTCGTTCATCCACGATTTTGCATTTGTGTTTGGTAACTGTTGTGATAAAGAAAGCAAGCAGTTTCAAGCGGCGATCAGTTTTGTGCACGTGTCGTGTCTGCGAAACGAAAATTCGACAACACATCGGACGCATTTGGAGGACCAGGCTAGATTACCTCCAAGCAGTTACGGGTTTGTCACAACCTTAGGCTTATCCAGACTGTGCGCAGGTGAGCCAGGTCATCGTCTCCGGCCTCTCGTTTGATCAAAAGAAGTTGGATTTTCACACGAGATACAAGCGGCAGGCAGCTAAATCCGTTCCAAGGCTAGCAGACGATTTTTGCTTAAGATGCCTTGCATGCATAACAGGTTGCCTCTGCGTCTGTCAGGGGAAGAACATGGCTCTCTTGAAAAACACTTGAAAGTGTTCTTAAAAGGTCTTAAAATCTTACATAGCTGAGTTTTCGTGCAGTATTGTACCTTGAAACACAGCGTCTCACTGTTCGGCGTGCATACTTAGGAGTGATTGGACGACAGTGACCCTGCATAAGCTAAGCACTTTTTGCCCTTATTTTATGACACTGGGCTTAAAATAGGCACATTTTGTGTAGATGGTTGAAAGAAATACGACAGGCATATAAGCAAACTTCGTCAATTAATGTCAGCCTGTGTTGATTTCCCGTTGTCTGCCGCACAGAAACATTAGTTTTTCACCCCATTAGCATCGAAGACTGCTTTACACTGAGTGTGAAAGAATAGGGTCAGGTAAACCAGTTGGATGCTGTCCTTAGTCCTCTCCAATAATATAAAGGCAGCGACGCTGTGTCATTTCCCTTTGTACCGCACCGGCAGGCCGAGTCTGAGACAGCTGACTGACAGCTCGGTCTCAGAAAACAGACTTGATTGCACGACTGTGAGCAGGCCTTACCAACTGAGCACTCTAGTTCCTTCGTGGCACGGGCGGCGACGGATAATATGACACGACCGTCCCCTGCCGACCCCAGGCTGGTGGCGGACAGCCAGCAAGCAGAAGGCCAGCCGAAGGTCGCGCCGTGTCTGTGAGCTGCAGTTCGACGCCTGCGGCAGTACGTCCAGCCCCGGCGCTGGTCCGGTGCCAGTCGGCCCTGGGTGGAAAACCCCCGAACGTGCTCGTCCACTCCGTCCCACCCGGCAGCGCGGCCGTCCACCGGTCGCCCAGCCCCGAGGAGCGTACCCCACGCCCGCCCGTTCTCGAGGGCCGTTTTGTTTGCAGCTGAACATGCGAATGATTGTGCGGGCATGTGGACTCGCCCGCTGCACAACAGCACAGTGGCCGGCACCGCATGACAGCAGGCGTGAGAGCGGGCGGACAGGACAGCTCGGCGATGGCGGCTCTGCCCCAGCGGACTAGCTCCAGTCCACCCTTATTTAGCCTCTGATGAAGTTGTCGTCTCTTTAACAGGTTCAAACCTTTGAACTTTTCACAGGCTTTTTATCCAGTTTTGGGTATCATGGTGGTGGGAGCTTTGTGGTATCTTGGAAGGTTCCATATTTGAATACATTGAGGCAAATATAAAATATGATGGAAAAGCTTACTTGTAGCTAATGGTATGTTTTATGCGCAGAGGTTGCTTTAGATAAGAAAATTTTACCACTTATTTAATATACTCCTTTTGACACAAGGAGAGCATTTCAGCTGATCATGTACTTCAGTACATGAAGGTGTCATGTAGATATATGTGGGTGGTATAAACGACACCGGCCATTACACCAGTTGACGGCTAATTTTCTTTAAGACTGACAGAATCCAGCGAGGCGATTTTGCATAAAATGATACTTTGTACGACCGTTTCGAAGCGGAGGCTCACACTGTAAACAACACGGCCGTTTGGTTGTGATCTTTACGACTTAACAGAATCGCACAATGCGACCGTTACAACCAGGGCGTAATTTCACAAAATGAGCGGGGCTGAAAAGAAAAAATGACCCAGTATATCTTTAGAATATGCCAACAAACATATTTATCCATGGATTTTGCACACTTTCTTCCCAAAGTTGGGGGGGGGGGGGGCGGGGGGGGCTGAAGCCCTCAATTGAATAGGAAACTACACCCCTGACCCCAACTCCGGCAAGACCACTGCTTGCGGTCACGTCCAGCATCACATTTGGTTTGGGTTGTGTTAAAGTGCAAGACATGTGCGGACTAGCAGCTAACGACTCATTATCAGGAATGTCGGTCCCTGCACGGCCACGTGGTCGATGCGTGCGAACAGACGCGTGACACATGCAAAGGATTGAGAGGAGGGGCAGCGCACAGTTTTGGTTCCCCTTCACCACGCACCGCCGTGAGTCCGACGTTAATTCAACAAAGCTTGTGGGTGCATCAGCTCAGCGCGTGACGCCTGTTGCTGCGCCGCTGCCCGTGATGTGTCGTGGTCCTCACTGCGTGTCAGCTGACCTGTGGACGGCCGTGTGCCAGGCGACCGTGATCATCAGGTTGATAGGCACGTCCACCGGCACCACATCGGCCACCATCTCCTCGCTGCAGAGCAGTGTGCGCATCAGGCCCTTGCCGGCGCTGGCGATCATGCCGGTCGGCCCGTTGAAGTTGTCGATCCATCCGGGTATCGGCTCCTTCCAGGCGCAGGTCACTGCGGAGGCGCACACGTGGTGAGGAGAGGAGCGTGGCGGGCACGACAGATCCTGCCAACGGGCGGAGCGCGGAGAGGCAGAGGTCACCGACCGGCGCTCGGTGGGGCATAGGTCACGGGCCGACGCTCGGCAGGGCAGAGGTCACGGGCCGACGCTCGGCGGGGCATAGGTCACGGGCCGACGCTCGGCAGGGCAGAGGTCACGGGCCGACGCTCGGCGGGGCAGAGGTCACGGGCCGACGCTCGGCAGGGCAGAGGTCACGGGCCGACGCTCAACAGGGCAGAGGTCACGGGCCGACGCTCGGCAGGGCAGAGGTCACGGGCCGACGCTCGGCGGGGCATAGGTCACGGGCCAACGCTCGGCAGGGCAGAGGTCACGGGCCGACGCTCGGCGGGGCAGAGGTCACGGGTCGACGCTCAGCGGGCAGAGGTCACCGACCGGCGCTTGGCAGGACAGAGGTCACGGGCCGACGCTCAACAGGGCAGAGGTCACGGGCCGACGCTCGGCAGGGCAGAGGTCACGGGCCGACGCTCGGCGGGGCATAGGTCACGGGCCGACGCTCGGCAGGGCAGAGGTCACGGACCGGCGCTCGGCGGGGCACAGGTCACGGGCCGACGCTCGGCGGGGCAGAGGTCACGGGCCGACGCTCGGCTAGCAACAGACTACATCCGGAACGTACAAGAAGCGAGGCATTTAGGGCTACTACATCTTAAATAAAATCCATAGCCGACTGTAAACACCACTGTCACCTTACCCCTATGCGGGGCAGCCCCGTCAAGTCATGCTAGGCTGATTGATCGATAATTCAATCGATGCACTAATAGGTAAAAGAGCAAGTGCCTGATAGGTGTTTGGCCAAGTGGCCCCTTTTCTGGCTATAGCTTATGGCTGGGCCTTACCTTGACAATGGACATCAAACGGCCGGAGGATGTAGGTCACTGTTAACGAGACCGTGAAGGCCGATTGCACTGCACACAATTTGATGGCTTCACGGTGGTTGAACGTTAATCGTTAGGTGCCGACAAATGTTCCACTCTTACTGCTCCACCAACTACTATGACACTTGTAATGGCTCTCGTTCCACTGCTGGTGTATCAGAAATATAATAAATGGCGCTCTGCAGCACGGGGGTTGGTTTTTGTAATTGCGTGGGCCCTCACAACCTAACCTTCAAATGTGTGTCTCTCAACGGAATTAGGCCCCTTTTTGTTGAAGCACGACAATTCTCATTGGTTTATTGGTGTGTGCACCAAATAGCTCCTTATAAAAGCTCAATAATAGCCACGGGCATCAGATAATGTCCCAAACGCTCAGTTTTCTGCAATGTCCAACTTTTCCCAATTTCCTTGCAACATCCCAGAAAAAAATGTTGAGAAAAACTGTTTCACCAACCTAACATACCGGAGCTCGAATCAGCATGGCGGCGGAGCATTCACAAAAGAAAACAAACTGACATGACTGCTTCAGAGTGGATTCCTGAACATGCTGTGAACTATCATCAGCATTAACCATCAACATTTTGATGTGTCATCATTATTCTCAGGCACTGTCTGTTCAACTGCAGCTGTATTCTGTGTTCTATGTATCGTCTGTCTAATAAAGTATGCCAACTGAAAGCCTATGGCGAATTCTTTTGTAAACCCCACGCGGCACGCCAACGCCCTGGCTGCCAGCCCGACTGATCGTGATGTGGTGCCATGGCGTGCGCAAGCCGGAAGTGTCTGCAGCTACTCAATGCCCCACGTGGCCAAAGCACAACGTGGATGAAGCAAGCCCTCTCTGCGAGCTGCGTTTTACGTGGCGGGAGTAGGATTTCGCGTCACAGTGGAGAGGAACTCCGCGCAGTTACAGCTTGGCTTGGGGACCCGTTTGGCCCCACAGCCTGGCCCGGCATGAACTGTCTGCCAGAACATTTGAATGCACTACTTGGGCGTAGTTTTGGCCGCGTCAGCAAAATCAGCGCTGTCCGTGTCCCCAGCCGAGAACACACGTCCAGAGGCGTCCAGATCAGAGGCCACGGTTGTGCTGACGCACCTCTGATCCCAGCACCCAGCTCCGGCGGACGCCGTCAACACCATAGCGACGTGCTACAGACATCCGGGTCTGGTCTGGTCTCCGGACCTAATCCGGACCTCGGGGTGCTATGCCGCAGCGAAGATGGGCACGGACCGAACCTGAGCCAGAACATAACTCAACTGGCCCGTGCCTGCGGGCCGCGGGGTGACCCCGTAAGGTACTGTATACAGACCAGGCTTGCACTACTTCTCTGCCGTGACGGCCTCCTGCGGGCCAATGTCATCGAGCTGATCGTGTCACTGCGTCACTGACCGTCACCAAGCCGACGGGACGTTTTCCCTGACCGTCAACTAACCGTCGGCACGCCCTCTCCTGACCGTCACCGAGCCGTCGGAGCACCCCTCCCCCTGACTGTCACTGAGCCGACGCCCCCCCCCCCCCCCAACGATCACCGAGCCGACAGGAGGCGTCCCCTACCGTACTCGACCTGCCGGAACGCGTCACTGGCATATCGGAATGCGCCTCGGTCGGCCGCTGCCGGCCGGGCCTCGTCAACCCTGACCGTGGCGCCCACACATCCGGCCGGGTCCACCGGTGAAAGCGAACACCGTAACACCGTAACCTAGACATTCGGCAGCTGGACCGAACGAGAGCCGGGTCCGACCGCAGCCGTTCTCACTCGGAAGAAAGTGAGAGCGGCACCACAGCGGCTCCACAGATGGAAAGTATTTGATGGCAATTGGTAGCCAGCAATTCATATTGCGCGACGTTAGACTGGATCAGTCTATTGTCCTTGGTGACACTGGAATAGCAGAGCACGCCCAGCGGAGCTCCACCTTGACCCACCAGCGGACGTGGGCGTCGGTGCCGCCCCGACCTGGGCAAAGTCAGCGGGGCCGTTCCGACCTGGACGGGGTCAGCTGACGCCGGGTCAGACGACCGCCGGGCCGCACCCTGACCATGGCGCTCGACGTCGGGTCATCGGAGCCCCGGCCAATCGGTCAGTCGGCTCATCAGTGCATTACTGCGTCGCTTCTTGACGCGTTCGGTCACTGCCTAGTGGTTCGGCAGTACATGGTCCATGGTTGGCAGTACATGGGCGGTTCCCATACACCCCAACCTGTCTGCGCTAGCCAATCAGTCGTGTACACCCGGCCACTGGTGTGGTAGTGCTCTAGTACCCCGCTCATATCCCACTCTGTCAGCCAGTCCGCGGTCAGGCCTCAGTTTTGTGGAGCCCTACCCGGTGAGGCGTCGCGGCACCGACTGGTGACCCCGCGTCTGGACCCCGGCCCCCGGGTGGACCCAGTGTCCGCAGAGGCAGGCCGCCTCGGCGAGAGGCCGCGGCACCGAACGGTGACACCGCGTCTGGACCCCGGCCCGCAAGCTGACCTGGCCGGCGCAGACCTGGGCATTCAAAGCCCGTCAAGCGTGTCCCAGTCCCCCTCAGTCGCTGATTGCTCAACAATTAGCGCCGATTGGAAGAAGTGGTAACGCCGTGCGCTCTTGCGCTGCGTGTGTAGAGCTGAGAGCCATCAGGCGGTTTTTAAGGTGCAAATCAGCTAATTCTGATTCATCTGTGCCAATGTGCTGGAAGCATTGGACATTGTCTGGCGCATTGAGTCGCGCATCTTACGGTGATATTTTATGATCTAGCATTTACATGTTTACGCATATCATGTTTGAAGAACACTCAAAGACAGAACCTTCGCGCCAAGACGTCAGACTACGGTATCGTAAGTATGTCATATGTTGACTCACAGGAGCTTCTATTACCCACTGGTAAGCTGCTTCATGGTAGGCTGCCTGCTGGTGAACTGCGTGTTGTAGGCTGTGGCCCACACGCCAGCGCCACCATAAATGAAACACACCAGTATGTATTATACACTACAACCGGGTCAATACCAACACGCTGGGTGCCTCAAGCATTCCCAGCGTGTTTCGTAATCCTACACGGTTAGGCCCTTTAAGATTTCGAGGTTGTTTCATTGACCATCGAAGCCGCACAGCTGTGATATAACAGGGAGCGGCGATGTTGGGGCGGCAGTTTTGGGGCGGCGGTATTGGGGCGGCGGTGTTGGGGCGCCGGTGTTGGGGCGGCGGTGTTGGGGCGCCGGTGTTGGGGCGGTGGTGTTGGGGCGCCGGTGTTAAGGTGCCTGTGCTGAGGCGGCGGTGTTGGGGCAGCGTTGTTTGGTGCCGGCTTGTCGCATCGATCCCGATATCATGGGCGGCGGTGTGGGGCGCCGGTGTCGGGGCGCCGGCGTCGGAGCGCCGGGTTGGGGCCCAGGTGTATGGGTAGTAGTGTTGGGGCGCCGGTGTATGGGTAGTAGTGTTGGGGCGCCGGCTTATCGCGTCGACCCCGATGCCATGGGCGGTAGTGTGGGGGCACCGGTGTCGGGGTGCCGGTGTCGGAGCGCCGGCTTGTCGCGTCGACCCCGATGCCATGGGTGGTGGTGTGGGGGCACCGGTGTCGGGGTGCCGGTGTCGGAGCGCCGGCTTATCACGTCGACCCCGATGTCATGGGCGGTAGTGTGGGGGCACCGGTGTCGGGGTGCCGGTGTCGGAGCGCCGGCTTGTCGCGTCGACCCCGATGCCATGGGCGGTAGTGTGGGGGCACCGGTGCCGGGGTGCCGGTGTCGGAGCGCCAGCTTGTCGCGTCGACCCCAATGCCATGGACGGCAGTGTGGGGGCGCCGGTGTCGGAGCGCCGGGTTGGGGCGCCGGTGTATGGGCGGTAGTGTTGGGACGCCGGCTTGTCGCGTCGACGCCGATGCCATGGACGCCGGTCTGGCCGGCCGGTGATGCCACAGGCCCGTTGGTGGCCGCGTCGATCACCGCTGGGCAATCACGGTCAAGTTGGGGTCACACCTGTCGACCAGCTGTCTGGCGGGGGGGGGGGGGGGGCTGACGGTCGTGTCCAAAGTGGCGGCAGAGTGTCTCCAGAGAAGAGAAGTGTAATCGGCGACTGGTGATGTCAGCGCGTA